CACGGTGGAGGGGCTGCTCCGCGACCGCTGCGTCGCCTGCATCCAGCACGTGCTGAGCTGCGTGCGCGAAGAGCTGCAGAGTGCCCAGAGCCTGCTGGGGGGGCAGGCGGACGCTCCCAGTGATGCCAGACTCAATGCTGTCCTCTTCCTGGCAAGACTCTGCCAGTCCCTGACCGAGCTCTGCCCTCACCTGAAGCAGTGTATCCTGGGCCAGTCGGGCGGCACGGAGACGGCGCTGAAGGAAACCCGCTCCGCCAAGAAGCTGGGGAAGGGGAAAGCCCAGGAAGTGACCCCTGTGCAGGCCAAGTGGCAGGAGGGGAAGGCAGAGGGCCTGCAGCAGAGCCTGTTCGGGCAAGACTCTGCCAGTCCCTGACCGAGCTCTGCCCTCACCTGAAGCAGTGTATCCTGGGCCAGTCGGGCGGCACGGAGACGGCGCTGAAGGAAACCCGCTCCGCCAAGAAGCTGGGGAAGGGGAAAGCCCAGGAAGTGACCCCTGTGCAGGCCAAGTGGCAGGAGGGGAAGGCAGAGGGCCTGCAGCAGAGCCTGTTCGCTTACCAGATCTGGAGCTCAGCTGTCACCAAAGTAAGGAGCTGCTTCTCTCATCACAGCTGTTTCCTGCGTGGGTTTCGCTCGCTCAGCTCCCTGCGGTCAGCGCTGATGCTTCTTCGCTGGCTGCTGAGAGCTCGCCGCGCTGCTCAGTCAGCTTGCAGGGAGAGGAGGCGGCGGCGGCTCGGAGGTGGTATCTGGTGGGATGGTCTCTGTAAGATTCACTTTGGGAGGAGCAGGATGTCTGTCTCTCTGCGGGCAGGAGCAGGCTGCCTGTCCTTTGGTACTCCTGTTAGAGCTGGCTGTGACTGGGTGCTTTTTGTGTTTTGCACTCTAGGGTCTGGTTCAGTGCTTTACCCACACCTTGCTGCTAGACACAGCTGGCTCTGTCTTGGCCACAGCCACCAACTGGGATGAAATTGAAATTCAGGAGGAGACCGAGTCTGGAAACAGTGTAACGTCAAAGATCCGGCTGCCTGTGCAGGTATGAGAAAAGTCCTCTTGGTAAACACAGAGAAACAGTCTGCTGGGAGGAGAAAAGCGCTGGTTTCCAAAATGTCAAATGGTGCTGACCTGCTGTGGAGGTTGCCTGGTGTTAGGAGCAGAGGGCACTCCCCGGTGCTCTTATTTGCTCTTTGAGATACTCACCTCTTAAGGACAGAGGTCAGAGGAAGGAAATTAGATAGCTGCTGCTATATATTCAAATTAATTAATATTGGCCCAGATCCTGTAAAACTGAGCCAAAGAAGGACTTATGCCTGGTTTATACACAGAGGCCCCCAGGAGAGAGATTTCATGGAAATTGGATGCGCTGAAGGACAGGGCTGCAAGAGTGGGACCGCACAAAGCCTAAGAGAACCGAGGCTTGCAGCTTTCCTTAGGTGTGGTGGCAGTGCAGGAATGACACAGTGGCAAAGCAGGCAGCGATCGCGCGGAGGGAGAGGAGGGCAAGAGTGAGTTCTACGTTTGTACAGTACGGGAGGGGCTGGATGGGGTCTTTTGTAATGAACCTTACAAGGTGAATTTTATTGCTTCTGAAAGAAAAAGCAGCCAGATGAGAGCTCAGGATAGCTGGGAGGCCCAGGAGAAAAGTGAGGGAGTAAATAACAAGCCCAGGGAGCGGGTGGTCAGAGCAGTGTCAGTGGTGACAGAAGAGGCACAACAAGCCATTCTGTTCTGACTACACTCGGGTGAATACTTCTGGTAAAAGTACTTGTGGGCCCTGGTTATAGCAGTCGTCCTCAAAGTGTCTGGTGTGTCAGTAAATAACCTGCGAGATACCTGAGCCATGCTATGGGGGCAGGCAGGTCTTGGCAGCGGAGCTTTGTGGTTGCTGAGGAAGTAGGAAGCTTGCACCACGAGAACCAAGGCGATGATGTGCTGTGGATAAAGCTAACGTAGCTTACAGACCACGTGAAAATAAATGCTGTTTTCTTAATCAGCCGTCCTGGTACGTCCAGTGCCTCCTCTTCAGCCTGTGCCAAGAGGTGAACCGGGTCGGTGGCCACACTCTTCCGAAAGTCACCTTGCAGGAGTTGCTGAGGACCTGCATGGCAGAGGTGCTTGCTGCCTACGAAAAGCTCATGGAAGAGAAGCAGGAGAAGGTACGTGAGTAGGATCAGCCCTCACCCCAGCTGGCATGGGATGGGAGGGTCACTGGGCACGTGGTGATTTTGGAACCGAAAATGTCTGCTTGTGAGACTTGGAAAGGGTGAGTACATTCTTGCCCTGCCTCCCCCAAAAATGAGGCAAAAAGGGATCAGACACCAGACTGCACACTCGGAACGGTTCAGTTAGGTTGGTTGTTTCTTGGTGCCGGTGTTTTTAAATGTTTCCCCTGAAGCAGTCCTTTGACAGCTCTCTCTGTGCGAGTGAAGAGCCCTGTTCCTGACTGTCCTATTTGCAGAAAGCAGGCACCTTCCCCATGACCCAGAACAGAGCTCTGCAGTTACTCTACGATCTGCGATACCTGAGTATCATCTTGACGGCGAAGAGTGAGGAAGCAAAAACCAGCAGGATCAAGCATGACTCCGGGTGCGGTACAGTTCTGGGGTTCAAATACTAGCAGTAGGTTGGGGGGGGGGGGAGTTTAAATCAACATCCTGAGTGGCTGTCAAGAGAACGCCGGCAGGAGCAGTGCCTTTGGGCCTCACGGGAGAAGGGCAGCGCAGACTCTGAGCTCTGACATCTGCACTGGCGCTAAGCTCATCCTCAAAATAAAGAATGAGGGGTGGGTTTGTTTACACTCAGTGAAATATCGATACTGAAGGTATAAAATCCAGTGGAAATGTTGCACGGAGAGCGCGTCCAGGATTGTAAGTGGCGCTGCCGCTTCTAGCGTCCTTTTTCCTTGGGCTGGAAAACATGTATTGTAGCCGATATGCGGTGGACTTGGTAGTGTTAGGTTAATGGTTGGACTGGATGATCCTAAAGATCTTTTCCAACCTAAACAATTCTATGATTCTGCAGCCAAGAGCTGGGAGACAGCGGGCTGGTCTCCCCGCTTGCATACGCAGCATGTCCGCGCGGCGGCAGGGGTAGTGTCAGAGGATGCCGCTGGAGAGAACAGTTAAGCTCCCGCCCAAGAGTTAAAACCTTGCGTATGCTCCAGTCTTGAGAACTCTGAGACGTACAGCAGGGAGAAGGTTCCTCTGCAACAGCCGATAGCGTAGGTTGGGTGGTAGCTGGAAACCCTTTAGGCAGCTGCTGTTCTGCTGAGCCATTCCCATTTGGCTCAGTCACCTCTTGGGGGCAAGCCCCTCGCTGTTTCAGAGGGACCGGTGACACCACCCTGTGGCATCAGCAGCCGGCGCTAGGATGTAACCCCTGACGGGACTCTGCTCTGCGTGCAGGCTTGAGAAGGTGACCGACTTCCTGGAGGGACACATAGATCCGTTTGACTTGGATGTTTTTACTCCGCACTTGAACAGTAACCTCAATCGCCTGGTTCAGCGAACCTCCGTAAGTTTGAGGAAGAGGAAGGGATGGATCAGGAAGCAGGGCTGCAAAATGTTTTGAAGGGCAGCTGGGGGGGCTTTATAGACTGCTTGATGCCAAAAGATAACTACTGGCACTTACTCAGAAATGGGAAGAGTATTTAATGCCCGCTGAAGATAAGAGGAGCTTGCTGAGCTGGCTGCACAGCATATAATCGTGCGTGGAGTTGGCTGAACTTTATCTAACAAGATTCACTGGAGCCTTTGCAATGCTAATTGGGTTAAGTAGTGCTGAAACAGGCCTAGAACTCGATTATGGTAATAACGAGCAGTGCCAATTAAAAGCAAGAGTTAGAGGGGGGAGGGAGACACTTTGTGTTCAAACTTAAAGCCAATCACAAGTGGCATGCCAGGAGACTCACCAGTGCTGCATTGCGGTGTCAGCTCTGCGGCTGCCCCCAAATACAAACAGCTCCTTCGTGCCTTCCAGGTTCTCTTTGGCTTGCTGACCGGCACAGAGAACCAGTACACAAGCAGGAGCGGCGCTCTGAGCTCCCAGGAGCTCCACAACATCTTGCCGTTAGCATCCAGCCAGATCAGGTAAGGTACTCGGCTCTTCTGCACGTTCTCACGTCTCTTTGGGAAGCGGGTCTAAAATTGCTGCTGCACTGTGACCGGCCGCATTTCTTTCTTCCATCTCTTAAGATTTGGACTTCTGCCACTGAGTATGTCGAGCTCGCGAAAGAGCAAGTCTGCTACCAGGAGCACAGAAAGAGTTCAGGTTGGTAAAATTGAGCCTTACTGACTTTTTGCCGTTCTCCCACCAACACTAGAGCTTGCGGGGAAAGAAGAAAGTAGCCAAACAGTTAATATTTAACCTGATTTTTATTTTCGGTAAAATGAGAGAACCATTATGGCAACACAGCACGAGATGGTTTGGATTTCCCCTTGACCCTCAAAAAGAACCTGATGGCCCCTGTATTTTTGGGGCCCGCTGCATTGTGGTAAAACATAGGCAATAACCACCATGAAAATGCAGTGAAGACTTGTACAGATTTTGAGATCAATGCATAAAAGACAATTCATTTAAAGACGGCTGCAAGAAATGTCAAAGGGTACTAGCTAATTATTGGAACTCCTTTCCAGTGCGATGCTGACCTTTAACTCCTGACGAAGCCTGGCTTGGGTATTTAAGCCTGTGTGAACAGAGTGGCTTGCTTCTCTTGCAAAGGCTCTCTGTTGTCCTGTTTCTGAGTTTTATCTGTAGACAACCGTTATGTTGCTATGTTTCCCCCAGTTTAAAACACCTGCTTAAATGGAGTTCTTTATGCTGAGGCTTGAAAGAGCCAAGGAATACCTCACTGCTACAGCAAGCGGTAATTAGTAAGCTGTTTCCTTTAGCTCTTATTAACCCAATAATCCATCTGCGGGGATGTCTTTTCAACTGGGACAGAAGAGTAAAGGTCTGGTTTTATCAGAGCAGAGCATGTTACTTGATGTTTGCTCTGCAATTCTTGTTCTCCGTTACTCAGAACCATTAAGGACCAGACACAGTATAAGCCAAATACTTATTTAAAAGCCCAAAGCTTCACAATAAAGGTATTCTTTACCTCTTACACCTCAGCTGTAGTAGAGCGTAGAAGTGTTGCAGTGATGTCTGGCTTGCTCCTGCCACTCCCCACGCCTGCTGTGGTGGCACACATATGTCCCGCGTTAGCCATGCTTCTCGGAATCCCTGACGGATGCTTGTTCCTTTTATGCTAAAACAGTTCAGGGGAGGTTAAAGTCCATAGTTACTCAAGAACAGCTCTCTGCAAGGGCAACAGCTCTACTTCTGCCATGCTGTTAGCCCCTTGCTCCAGCAGCAACAGCCCTTCCCTGCCGTACAGAATGATTTTTATTGAGCATGGAATGACATCTGAAAAGTTACCTGTTGCTAACAGCAGCAAGGTGCTGTGCTTCTGCCACTCCAAACTGCCTCTGTCTGCCTGTCGCTAAGCGCCAGGGGTGACACTGCTCAGGTTGTAGTTCAAGGTCAAGTTGCCTAGGAAGAGCTGTTCTGCTGCAGTCTACACCTCCTTGCAGCGACTATGGACGAGGTTATGGAGCAAGTCAAAGGTACGCCGTAATAGTTACTGACGCTTTTGTTTTTAAAAACTAACAGGTTGCACCTCCTGCACTCACAAGAGCAGAAGACGAGGCATCGCGCCCTGGCTCTTTGTTCAGGCAGCTTGTAACCGAGGAGGAAGACGCAGCTGCACCTTCTCTCTTCAAGCTGGGATGGCTTTCTGGCATGACCAAGTGATGCAATAAAAAATAAAAAGTTTGTCCGTGTATTCGTCTTCACCGAGATCGCTCTCTCCCCTTGGCAGGGAGCGGTGACACCTCTGCTGGTGTTGTCAGAAGAACTTTTCCATCCTTAGCCAGATCACAGTACGCCCCTTGAACCAGGCACAGGTCAGGATTGTCCTTGCCGTGCGGCTGCTGGAACAGAGGTGTAGCTACTCTTTCACCTCCTCTTCCTTAGAAGTCGTTGACATTAAAGTCAAGTTAAAGGAGAAAAAAAAAACCCAAACCCTACACACTGTAACAGAAAACAAAACATTTCACAGCTAGAAGTAGGTATTGGAGCAACGTAGGACTCGACTCCTCCTTCAAAAGCCCCTCCTTGGGCTACTCTACACTTGTCTCTGCAGGCACCACTAATCTGCTCTCCGAGCAAACCCAGCGGGCACCTGCTATTTCGGCTACAGCTGCCTAAGCTTTCCTGGTTCTAGTTTCACATTTTTCTTTCCAGTCCTGCAGCAGTAAAGATGAAGTGAGATAAGGCTTGTCGCACACACAGCTGGGTGGAGAGTTCGCAGCTGGGGCAGCCCTAAGGGATGCCAGTGACAGCACCTATCCTTCCTGTCTCGGTAACTCTAAATGCTCAAAAAAAATTATGTTGCCAAATAAATTTTTTACTAGTTTATTGAAATTAAAAAAAGACTTATAAAACTGAAGAGGAACGTTTGAGAGAACTTTACATAAAGCAACAAATTGCTAACAAACAGATTAGGCAGTCGATTGGAATTGGACATTTTGCAATCCTATAACACAGATGTGGATTCCTCGGTCTCCTCTTGACACGTACTTTATAACCACCCCAAAAAGAATCCTATAAAAATTGCTTCAAAGCCCCTTTTGCATTGCAATAGTGCAGCAAACCACAAGTAAACAATTTCCTGTTAACCTGTTATTTCAAATATAGACTGAAAAGGCAACAGGCGTTTTGTGCAATTCCATTTTAACAAACTTTTAAGTTGAAATATCAAATCTACACAGTGCTGTCCCTTCACAGAAGGCGGGGAACTGCTGGTTCATCATGTAGGAAGGCGTCCCCGGCTCTGTAAGCTGTGAAAGTGTGCCTCCTTCAGGATCTGGTTGATGTGGAAGTAAGGACCTTGGCTTAGTGCAGACTGCTCATGGAAGGACTGAGAGGAGACAGGACTGGATCCTGCAATTATCGGGTTTAGGCTGGTTTCTGCACTGCACGCTCTGTCGGGGCTGTTGATGCTACTGCTACTACAGCTGCTGCTGCTGCTGCTGCCGCCATTCGCG